GTGTTAACACCAGAGTTGGCATCAACTTCCAAGACTTGATTGATAGTCGCCTCAGCCATTATCTTGTTACGAGAAATCCTACGCACCATGATTGGTAAGACTCTATCAGCAGAACCTCCTTCAGTGAGGTTGTAGAAACTTCGGTCTCCAATGTAGGGAATGGGTTGACCTTGTTCATGACTCCATGTATTCAAGTTAGTGGCCCACAGAGGTGTGGGTCCTTGAAATGCAGGACGGGGTTCAAGTTTGGGTTTTGAGCAGATGGGGGTAGGTTGTTGACTTCAGGCTCTGAGTCAGAACCATCGGAAAAAACCTCAACATGGTGATCATCCAAAGGGATTTAGTGATGATCTTCTGGTTCTGCCTCTAGCCAACCAGCATTGCCTTGGTTTGGGAAGTACGGATCGCCATGGTGAAATCCAGCCATTTTAATCTACGCGAGAAAATGGATATAAGAAATAGCTAAATAGACGAACCGACTAAGATAATTACAGTAAGACCAAAAACCCCTATGGTATTTCTTTATGGTCGTGTTGGTAAGTTTTTAGACTTGTTGCCATATCACAACCATTCTTGAGCATATGCTAATCACTCCTCGGACCAGCATAGTTGATCAGGCTATGCCATTCCCAAGACTAACTATATATCCCCAGGCTTACTTGTGATATTCAACAATCGTAATACTTTTATTCTTGTCATTGTGACACTGGTTTTAGTAAGAATGCATGCACGCATACTTTGTTAAATATTTTATTATTTAAAAGTATAACTCTTAGATAGAGTGTTTTAATCCCAATGTATTTATAGTTAGTATATCTTTTATGGGTTGATATACTATATTCACTATAAACAATGCTCTGATACCAATCTGTCACACCCCAAAACCATGAACGGCGGAAACGTTCAGGGGTGTAGGAAGTCATGTACAGTATCACAACAGTGTAAAGTAGTAAATAAGCAAGAACATCATCCATTGCATTATAAGTAAAGTTTTAATACATGTGTGTTCCTTCATTGTAATAAGACACCAAAAATATATAATCAAAATAAAAGACGAGACTTATCTATGCTCCGTCTTCTCAAAACCTAGCCATCATACCTGTCTACTGGTGACCTGAGAATACAAGTTATTTTGAAAGAGAGTATCAGCTTTAAAGATGGTGAATTCATAAGTATTTAAGTGTCATTGTCTTCCTTTGAAAAAACTGTTATGAATGTCATGTAAAACCTTTAAGTAAGACAATTGATATAAGTATGAAAAACCCTAAGAAATCCCTTATTTCCTACTAGTATGAAATGTAGTCTTCTACCAAGACCCAAATGTTTTGTTATAACAATGTATTCTTCTACCAAGACCCGAATGTTTTGTAAGTAAAATGATATTTTTTCCTTCTTTTTTACTACTACAAACAGTAATTGGTCTAACTCATCGTTTATGTGAATGTATCACAAAATAATGTAAATAGGAAAAATATAACTATGTAAGTGTTATCCCTGGATACCATGACTAACACGCCATCGCAGTAAGCGATATGTATAACCTAATGAACATCCGAAGATTGTCCAATTTTCCTCTGTAGCAGCAGCAGGTTAGAGAAAGGGTTAGTCATGTAGCCGACTCCTAATATAAGTGGTAACCTAATAATCATCCGAAGATTTTCATCTCATCCTCTGTTGCAACAACAGGATAGAGGAATGGTTAGATCCAATATCAATCTATCTATTATAAGTGATAACCTTAGACATCCGTGTTCATCACCCAGTGGTGCTAACAGCTAGGTTCCGCAATGGTTAGTCCTGTCTAGACATCCCGTCGAACAGGGATAGGCAGGAAAATTTACACAGAAGGTATGAATAAATCTTCCTCATAACTCGAGGTACAAGTATCCAGGTAAGTGAATACAGGACAATGTATCTATGTAACTGTACTCATGTATGGTATTCATGTAAGCATATTCAGATAAATGTATCTATGAAAACGTACTTATGTATCACGTAATCCTAGATAAATGTACTAATGTATCATGTGATCCTAGATAAATGTACTCATGTATCATGTAATCCTAGATAAATGTACTCATGTATCATGTAACGTACTGGTATAGACTCATGAATGAACTGATTCTTGTGGGATTCCTTGTAATAGGAATATTGTTTTGTATCTTCTAACTATCCCTATGATAATTAACTGAAATGCAATTGTTTGTTCAAGAAGGTAGACATAATGGTTTTGCAAGGTATCTAAGAGTTTTGAATAATAATTAAGAGTGATTTGATGTCATGTTAATAAACATTTCAAAACTAATACTTTTGTTATCAAGGTATTTTAAGATGGAAAACCATTTCACGCATCACATTTTGTAGTATGTGAAATCTGCTGGATGAAAACACAGTTATAAAATACATATGAGTGATTTAATAACATGTTGTTTTCTACTTGTATTCCCCCCCCCCCCCATTAAAGCATTTAAAAACATTTAAAATATTCATTTAAGGGTATGAACTCACCTGTAGATGCTGGTTTGGATGCACTGAACGATGTCAGATTGTTAGGTGTCAAGTGAGGACTTGTACACACACTATGATCCTAATGAACATATAATCATACATATGTGCACCCAATTAGTATTAAATTACTAATTGTAAATGTTAAGACATCATAGAACATGATAAACACTTTATATAAGTGTTATAATCCCTAAGGATTGCATCTAAGTTGTTGTGGGACAAGGAAAACGGGTTTAGGGTTCCAAAGGACCTCATACTTGAGTTTACTCTCCATATAATCCCACACATGGAGTTTACGGTCGTAAACTCTTTAGTTTATGGCCTTGAACTCCTAAACTTGGTGTTATTTTGTGTTTTGAGGTTCTAAATGATCCCTAGAAGTATTCCAACTTGGTGGTTTAATTCTTGGAAGGGTTTAGGGCACTACTAACCTCCTTTGAGGAGTTTACGGCCCCAAGGCCAATTCCATTTGAGTTTATTACCGTAAACTCTTATGGAAGGGTGTTTTTGATGCTTTCAAGTCTCATGCACATGTAGGATAAGTTCTAGACTTTTACCTAAAGAAAATGAAGGCCTTAGGCAGACTTTGGTGCCCTTCTTTCATGTTTACGGCCCAAGAGCATTATTAGGGCAGTAATCATCCAAAATGATGTGTTTTTGATGTGTTCTGGTCCTTGATTTAAGTGGAAACAATTCCTAGTAAATGTCTAAGGCTTTAGGTGCCTTAAAAGCACCCTTTGATCCAAGTTTTTGGAGTTCACAGTCCAAGATCATCTTGGGCCGTGAACACCCATGCTTTTGTGTTTCTTGGTTCTTTTCTTGTCCCAAACACACATATATATGAGTCTATGGTAGTAGCATAACACAAGGGAAGGTCTAGGCATTGTTTCGGGAGTTTACCGCCCAAGAACACCTTGCGGAGTAAACTCCTAAATCTAGTTATTTAGCTATGTAATCTATGTTATGAACACATTTTAAGCTATATAACACTACCAGAGAGAGGTACTCACGATTTGGATTAAAAACCAAAGATACGTGAGAGAGAAAATAGCTTTTCTCTAGTTTAAAATGTGAATAATGAATGAAATTGGTTCAGAATTCTATTTATAGTCGTGAGATTTTTGGTAGAAAATATTTTATTCCCGAAATGATCTCTAATATAATAGAGTGTTGGAATAATAGTGTTGCACAAAACCCTAGTGCATCCACTCTCCTGATATTTCCTGAAGTGTAAACCCTAAATTACTCAAACTTATATGGAAAAGTCTGAAAGTTTACTGTGACTGATATAATTTCTATTGAAGTGATATTGTTTGTACATAATGGAAATTCCGGGTTGTCATATATACTATATAATATTATAAGTTAATAATATTTATATATATGTATAAGAGTAAAAGTCAGCCTTACCGTTAGTAGGCCTCATTGACGAAGCCGGTCGATAAGGGGGGAGGGGGTATAAGTTTACTGCCTATAAAATGGCAGTTTAATGGGTGTCCACTCTCACCCACCGCTTCCTTGACTAGTGGAGGGTCGTTAGCCAAACGGGTAGGACAAAGACTATATGTTCTCCCTTCATTATAAGTATTAATGATAAATACACTACTAGAAAAACAGCCTTTTACGACGCTCATTGTGTGTCATAAAAGGCTCAGACGACGTGCAAATGCGCGTCAAGGAAGGCCCTGTCATAAAGAGAGACGACGCGCTTTTACGACGCTCATTTACGACGCTCATTTACGATGCGCGTTTACGACACGCAATGCGTATCAAGGAAGGCCCTGTCATAAAGGAAGACGACACGCGCTTGCGTGTTGTAACCTTATGACGCGCGTGTTAATGACACGCAATGCGTATCTAGAAAGCCCCTGTCAAGAAAGGCCATGTCATAAATGAAGATGACACATATTTTTGCATATCGTAAATTTAAATGTTTAAAAAAATAAATTTATATATTTATTAATTTTTAAATTAAATTTGCATTTAATTTCTCATAATAGAACTAAAACACCATATACAAAAAATACAATTCATTGCACAAAAATTAATGTCATACAAGATACAAAATAAAATACAATAAATAAGTAAGATTATTCATTGCATAAAATGTCAAATACAAATAATCATCGGTAACTATATAACCTAATACTACATTGCTAGTAAGGGACATCATCATAACTCACTGAAGGTCGTGGAAAAATGTTCTCATCATAAACTCTTACACCAACCTTGCTTTAGTAGATGACTTTCACACAATCAATATTGAAATAGATGCTACTCGGGCCACCATAGATGTTGCCCGAACTTTCCGAGTTCAAACTTCCACTATTTGCTTCATCTCTGCTAACCTCTTTCTGCTTCAAGAACACAAAAGAAAATGAAACCATGAAAATATCACATGAAATTTAATACCCTCATAAAATGATATTAGGATTAAGGGTGTTGAAGGTACTTGTATTCTTCGAGGAAACAACTATCATCAAGATCATCTTCTAAATCTTTGAGTTCTTCTGTCTTGTTATCGATCCGAGATTTGGTTTTAGGTTTGGAATCTTCGTCTTCTGCAGGAGTGAAGGGATCGGGTTCGAAGCAGAGGGTTTGGGAGGTAAGTTCCTGAGTTTTCTTTGAATATCATCCCATTGAGTTGATACTCCTTCAACATCTTTGTAGACAAAGTGAAGATCAGCTTTATCACTTGGCTCCCAAGATCTCTACATGCATAAGGAATAATGGGTATTAAGACTTAAGAGATTACATAATAAAAGTTATAGAATCTGAATTACAATATAGATCATACCTATATATATCTTTCCTGCCCATCAAAAGCTATTTGTAGTTTCAGCTGACTTCTGGTAGAAGCTAGGATTTAAAAAAAGCAATTAAGTTAGCTTTATCAAATTTAATACATGAATTTGGTAACTTTTTAAGGAAATTGATAAAATAGTAAGAACATGTGTCTCCAAAGAGCCAAAACCTCCTTTAGAATCAAGAATGTTGATTAGCCCTTCCAATCCTCCCATGATTGACTCAATCAGCGACTCAACATATAAAACTACATCTCGACCAATTCTAGTTAACTGCATCAACCAATCAATATTCAGTAAATTTCCCTTCAAAAGATAAAATAAAATTTACATATAAAATTTAGAGTAAGTTACACTTTCGGTCCTTGTTCCAAGTAAAGTTGGGAACAAGAACCACAAATGTTACAATCCTTCTTTTCTAGTAGACCATTCCCTTCAGATAACAAGCCTTCTTTTCCAGTAGACACTGTTGCTTTCTCCAAATGTCTTATGTTAATTGAAGATCGTGCAGAAGTAACAATCATTAAAATTGATAACCAATCTTTACATAATTCCTGTTTATGTAATTTTCTGTTATACATTATATACATGAGTATAAATATAAATAAATAAAACAAAACCATGTCACATATTTGAATGGATTAAAATTAAACATTATACTTACTGATAAATCACATGTAATTGCAGAGATATTTCCACCCTATGGTTTTGGAATATTTTCAAGATGTTCAATTTTTTTTGGAAAATCCCTTTTAGAGTGGTGTCCAGGTCAAGAGCCACCATGCTAGGTGTATTCAGTAAAAACCAGACACGGACCGCTAAAGATGACGGGTAGGATAAACCATACCCTCTCACAGCTATAAAAACATTGTGTAAGTATTTAAACCCGAGCCTCAAGGGTAAAAAGGTAATTAAACATTTTATACCCTCACCTACAATGTATTTGTGGGATCATTTGCATTCTACACGTGTTGACAAGTCAAACTTGTTAATTAATATTATATATATATATATATATATATATATATATATATATATATATATATATATATATATAGAAAAAACAATAATTTATGAAGTAATATCTGCCCCCACCTATTCACAGAAGCTCTCTCTTTGCATCATAAAAGTCACATGGCCTACCATAATATGGTCTTTTGCACCCATCCTCACAAAGATACGATCAACGGGGAGACATCTTAAAGATTTGCGTAGGCACATCTGCCCCCACCTGGAACATCCATCCATAACTAACTGTATGAATATTGAAAATAATACCTAATTGTATGAACATCCATCCATAACTAACTGGAGATCTTGTTTCAATATCAATTGCAAGAATAGAACAATCTGGAGAACCAGTGAGGATCACTGATGACAAAAACACACATTCAAAATCAAGTTTAAAGAAACAGCAACTATGTTGCTACTGAGGGTAAAAAGTAAATTACATGGTTCAAGAGTATATAAAGTATAAACAATGTTGGTTCATTACCAAGTCCTTCATTGATAAATCTAACAGCTCTACAAGATTCACTGTGTGCACGAACTTTCAACACCCTGAAATGATAGTTTTTAGAGAAATCACATTATAAGAATGGTTTTTAATCACGAAATTACCCCTAAATATGTTATATAACAAAATGAGAGTCAACTACCTCATGGTGAGCAGATTCTTCAAGTGTATCTTTCCTGAAAGATGAAAGCTTGGAAGAAGTTGCAGCAGCAGTAGTTGCAGTTGCAAGCACATCCTGGGCTTCCTTGTGCCTTCTCTCTTTTCTCCCCTGTTTCTTGACTTCTCTAAGCTCAGAAAGATATTGGCTCACCAACACAGCATCCCAGTTTCATTTTCTTAGTGTCTCAATCTCTTCTAGAAGAACCTTGATCACCTTTGAAATCAAATCATCTAAAACAATAAATAAAAAAACATCACAAAGTAAAACATCCAACCTTCTTATTTTGATACTTAGTAAGTTGCAATGATTAAATTTTCAAACTTACATGATATGAAGGATGTCCTTCATAGGATTTAAACAATCATGGTTCCCAATATTGGAATTCACCCTGGTATCACACTTAGATTCTATAGCCTCAGTTTGACCACTATCAGAATTATTGACCAACCGATCAGAAGCAGGACAGGATTCTGCTGATATCTGCAAGAAAAAAAGTTAAAGTTATTGTTAGATTCTCAAAGCCACCAATCTATAATCATCAATATACAATCACAAAGTTGATTATGCGACAACCTTTTCCATAGAACCAGGAGAAGACTGCCCCTGCTTATCTACAATGAAAGATTTATAATTTGGCTACCCTTAAAATCCTTTCCCTTCTCCACTTTTTCCTCTTTTTTCCTAGAATCCACACTCTCTTTCCCATTATGCCCCTGCTTATCTACAATGAAAGATTTATTATTTGCAGCAACAAACTCCTGTTTCTTTTAATGATTCCAATGGCTAACACTCCCTATATTCAAATTCCCACTATGACTTCTGTTATTCCAACCTTTATTACCCTTATTAACACTATTATGGCTTCCTCTATTGTTATTCCCTCCATTCCAATTACTACCTTCGCTTCCAGAAACATTGGGATGAATATCACCTGTACCGTACCCCTTCACAGTAGCAATCCCTGCATTTCCAGCTTTTTTGTGACCATAGTGAACCCCTCACCATCTTTATCAATCACATCCTGAATATCACTCTTGACAACCTACCATTATTCCAGTAGTAACAACTATGGCTGGATAATTCTAAGCTTTTACCTATTCAAAATAGACCCCCATAAGTAATTAACTTCAACATTTTCATTTGATGATCTATCAGATGGATTTATGTCAGTTAAACTGAAACAAGATACATTGGCACTCGCATTGTCAACTGGTGAATATGATTTCATGTAAAAGTAGAACTCTTCTTTCCGAGGATCACCCCATTCCTGCAATAGAGCAAGTCATTCATATTTAGAAAGAAACATACTAATATTATCATAGCATCCTGCTTTGAGTTTCCAAAACAAAAAAATATTATATATAAATCACCTCCCATTCTACAGTTATAAGAGGAATAGTTGGACCAAGCATTGTAGTCACAACATCTACAAATGGTACTCCAACTACAGTAGCCTTAAAGAAATCAGGTCTCATGTTCACAACAGCACCAATAAGCTACCCCCCTGCACTTCTTCCATTAATGGACAGCTTTTCTTTCGTACACTATTTCTTTTGGTCTGAGAAGTTTGAGTTTCACCTATGTCGTTGGGTGATTGAAGGCGACGAGGCTGCGTTTTCTTCTTAGAGAGAGGGATGACAAGAAATTAAACACAAACCTCACAGATTAGAGAGGTTATCGAAACCAGTAAGGGGAACACCAATGAAAAATCCAACGGATTATTGAGAGAAAAACTGATTTTTGTTTGTTTAAAAGCTAGCGAAGTATCAAGAAATTTCCAATCCAGGAGAATTCAAAAAGAAGATAGATAGGTACCTGATTTGACTAGAAGCGCAACTAGACTAGGGTTTGTAAATTTAAGAAGTCGTTGTAGATGGAGTTGGGTAGAGGTGAAGAGGAGTTCAGTTCCGAATTTTATGTTGAGATTACCGTGACTAAATTTCGCCATAAAAAGACGATTGAGAGAGAATGGTATTCGATTTTTGGAAGGAAGCGAGGCTATTACAGAGAGGGGGATCAGACTCACATGGAGATCTAAGGAGAGAGTGAGCGGTCTTCGATCCGATCGAGAGAGAATCATCGCCATAAAGATACGATCGAGGAAAATCGTCTTGAGAGGGGAAATTATTTGGGAAGAACTTGAAGCATTTGAAACCCTAGACCTTGATTTGATGTAACTTGACAGTGGACATTGTAGATTGATAGATTGAAGACCTAGAGCGATCCCTTGTGAAGAAAGCTGCACGATTACAGAGAGTCCTTGTTGACCGGATCCAAAGATTCCATCAATGGCTCTATCGGGTTTGGTTAAATCCCCAGTTTGGAATGTGCTACATCTGTTTCATGAACTTGCCAAGTCAATTACGGTTTTTTTTAATGAAAAATGAAAGGGGTTAATGGATTAGGATCATGATGTACCTGAGAAAACAAAGAAAAAGAAGGAGACCTCGCACATCAATTACGATTCACCTTTGAGGTTTACAGAGAGACGGCAGGTAGAGAATGAAGGGAGATCTAGAGGAGAGAGTATCAGAGAGGGGAGAGTGGATTGCAAGGATGAAAAATAGATACAAGATAGAAAAAACAAGGCAGGTTTTCAAAATTTTGGGGATTTCGTTTCCCCCTTCATTAACTAAAAGCGCGTTTCATTAAAATTATAAAGCGACATGTACAGACGACGCGCGTTTAAGATAAAGCGCCCTCCGTGTTTCTAATTTTTTTTCTTGAGACACTAAATTAAGGGCACACAATAATGCGTGACGTAAATCCTTAAATTTTTTGGAGAGATAACACTATTTTAAGGGCACGTCCTATTGCGTATCGTTAATCAGCGCGTATCATAAAAAGCGCGTCATTAAAGGTCTATTTTCTAGTAGCGTTATACTGAGTAACTAAACACTTATAATTCCCAATATTAGTTACATAGGAAAAATGTGAATAAGGTGCTAACTGTCACACCCCCAAACCGGAACAGCGGAAACGTTCGGGGGTGGATGACTTCATGTGGTAATGTAACAATTAAGTACATAGTAAAGAAAGCAATATAACCATCATATATATAATTGAAAGTTTACATTGTTTAAAAGGTACACGTTCAAAACCAATTACAATATGATGCTAAAATATGAATTTAAAAATGGCGCCGCAGCGTCCCCTTCTTCCAACTGCTGTTTGTTACCTACAATTATGGAATCCCTGGAACATACAAGTAGTTTTGAAAGAGTAGATCAACATTTAAGCTGGTGAGTTTCATAAGTATTAAATGATAATGTTTGCATGAACTTATAATGAAATGGTTTGTTTTTGTTTTTCGGTTCGTAGAATATCCCATATTCTCTACTAGTATAAATGTAGCCTTCTATCAAGACCAATGTTTGTTTCTAGAAAACTTATGTTTTTCCGTATATGGGTAGTGGGTTAGAAGTTCCAAAATTGTATCACGATAAGGTTTTGCATGCCTTAAATAGTTAATTAATGTACATATGAAGTTTTCAATACGTCTGAAAAACCCCGTAAATCAATGTGTTTTTAATACTCCATGTGAGTTTTATAACCATGCTATTTGACTAGAAATGCCTATACACAACGTTCTTCAGATGTTGGAATGTTCTGACTGTAGCTAACAGTCAGGGTGCAGGGTTGTCAATCCCGTATAGATCTATACACAAACACCATGCTCCCCCTCCAAGGGATTCTGGTATATAATACAGGACTTGAAAAGTGTACTCGAGTGTACGTGAAGTTTAATGTCTCACAAAACTTAGTATAAAACATATTTACGTGTGAAAATGTTCATTTGTTCTTGTATATGAAAGTAACTTCTTTAAATAGTATTTATAGTATGTAAAAGTTTGTGATGTTATCATAAAACTATACCTATTATAGTTTTGTAAAAGTGTGTTTCGTTTGTATAGTAATCCCTAGTAAAATGCTCACTTGTTATGAAAAATATAATTTTTGTAGTGCCAAAGATGGACACATATACATACAGTATAAGCAGAGTGTTTGATTGACATATATACATAAATCATTTCTTATTTCAAAAGATAAGAGGTTATTGTGGTATATTTTGCATATGAAAGTTTCCCTATAATAGTTATAAATCACATATGATTTCATTGATAATACCGAAATTTAACTCGGATCGGCCTGGTGACTCCTCCTTCAGATAATACCGAAATTTAATATAAACTTTATATTTTTATTATTTAATAAACTTTAAAAATTCATATCTTTTTCATACGAACTCCGTTTTCGGCGTTCTTTATATCTATGCGTAGGTGAGACTACGCTCTACAACTTGCGTTTAGATTCCGTCGGCAAATTTGAAATTATTTTTATTATTTATTTTTAAAAGGTCGCGGTAAGAAAATTTCGTTAGAAATTCATAACTTCATTATCCGACGTCTGTTTTTGCCAGACTTTTTACCGTTGAAAACTCATTGTCGAGACCTTCGATTCTTGTTTAGGTCATTTCGGCCCAAAGTCGCTCGATCTCCGTTTCGAGTTTTTAGCTCTCTGTTGCTAAGCCGAACTTGGAAAATTCATAACTTCCTTATACGAAGTCAGATTTGAGCGTTCTTTTTACGTACGATCACAATTTAATGACATCTAACATAGTAGGTAATTAATTAGAGACTTTTGGACATTTTATTTTCGAAATTAATTTCATTATATCAAAAGTGGTTACAATACTTGACTTTTTAGGTCGTTACATAGAGTTGAAATATCTGATTGTCACACTAACCCATGAAATTGCACTTGGTACATTTCTTAAGTCGGTTGGTAGAGCGTGTGTGGTTTACCGGCACACTAGCTTGATTTAACAAGGTAGGAAAAGGGTTTCTTAAAGTTTAATCATAAACCGGTGGAGCGTGTGTCATTTACCGGCACATCGGTTGGGTGATAAACATTTAAGAGTACCAAGTAATTTGCATGGTTACCTCACACCTTGTTTTGTGATCCTTGGCATCCCAGTCACAAAACGTGAAGGGCACACTCGAGATTGAAACATGCCATTGAAAAGTTCAATGAATCTCAAAAGATCTAGGAGTTTCAAATCCAATTAAAACTTAATAAATTATTTCGTTTTTCCATGGTGGAAATTAGTGAATCGTCATTCACCTACCTTCAAATATTTATAGCTTGGATTACGGCATCCCTCTTTCGAGTTATAAAATAGTTTGTAGGGTCCTAGCCATAATATTTCATATTGGGTGTTATATTAAGGACTTTTAATCAACTTAACTTGAATATCTCCCAAAAGATGTGTAGTTTAGACATCTATGATCTTCCCAAATCTCTTGGAACTTCACTTCCTCCACCTCCTCCAATTATTCTCCCTAACCCACAAGTTCTAGGTCACTCAAGCCATATTGGCAATGCAAGGTCTAGGTGTGATCACATCTTGGAGATGAAGTCACATAATGACAAGCCGAGAGAGTTGGGTGTCAAAGTCTTGAGAAAGTTGGATGTTCAATCACTTTCTAAGTTACATAGCGATTTCCTTTGGGACTCCTATGAAACAGACTATGACAAGACCCTTAATGATCTTATATGTTTGCTTGGGAATGCTGAATCAACAATGTTTTGGAAGGCTAGTAAAGCAAATTTGATTAGAAGATCGACTTCCCAAAACTTTATGGACATTGACAATGGTGACACAGGAAATCCAGAAAAGCATTCTCTTCCCAATGGAAAGGGATTGACCATGGTCAACTTGGTTGACCAAATGGTAAAGAGAAAGGCTAAGTCTAAGATAGTCCTATGTACTATTACCTAAGGGACCATATGTTTCTACTACCAAAGGAAGGGGCTTTGGTTACGAAGCTGCTAAACTTACCTAAGGATGGTAAAGTCAATGGGTTTGACTTTATTTCAGGTAAAGTCCATTTGTCTAACTCTGTTAAGTTTATACTCTGAGATTCTTATTACATGATGTGACTGGGTCATGTGGTAATGTTATAAGAATCAAAGAAAAGAGAGAACGCTTAAAGGAAGTATATGCTGCTTCTGATCGCGAAGATAGACTTCAATCACATCTGAATTTTGAAGCTGTTACTTAGGAGTTATGACACACTGCTTAGGAATTTATTACAAGAAGGTTTTCATATGGATTGTAAGGATAAGTATTCCGCAAAGTTTTTAAAATAAAAGGAAATTTTTGATTTTATTTATTTTAAGAATCCTTATAGTGGCATTTGTGAGAAAAAGAATGTTGTTTCTATGATTCCATTGCTAGTAATATAGGAAAATGTTTTTGATACTTTCATTTGTGGTAGTGTCTAAATTTACCAAATAAAGAAAGTTTCTCATCACCTAAGTTTCAATTAGACCGAAACTTGGAATCATGCAAGTTTTATAGTATGATGAATGAGAACTTTCAAGCATTGGAAAATTAAGACTAATTACTTGTTCACATGGATGTGTGAGTCAAGTAAAGGACTAAAGGATCGAGTACACAGTCTTATGCACT